GAAAGTCATTTGATAGTTTTGATAGTTCAGAACTGAATGTAGACTTTTTAAATAAGTATTCCCAAACATTTGATGAGATTAAAAAGAGACACAAAACAATTATTTACAAGGCTGAGTTTCGAAGCAAAAAAATGTTGAAAAAAAACTATTTTATAAGATATAAAGGATCAAAACTTCACTATATTATAAAAAAAAAATGTAAATATGAAGTTCATTCGTCACAAGTTCAAGAGGGTATTAGAAAAATTTGTTACAAGTTACTACCCTTAGAAGTAATTGGAAATCAAAAGAATAATAAAAAAATTTTGAAAGCTTGGAAACATTTTGTAAAAACTTCTCAAACTGAACCTTTTAATTTATTAAATTTAGTAAATAGTTTAAATGTAAGTTTTTAAATAATTTTTTTTGTGATTTCCATCAACTAAGTTAAATAGTAAAGCCTTTTACTGATTGTAGCTTAACTCAATAACATGGATACAATCAATTGACAATACAAGCCATAAATTTATTTTAATAGGCAAGTTTATTAAGTGGCTGTTTCAATTTCTCATAGCTATAGTTGAAAAAGTATTTCATGTCACTCATATTCAAGGAGAAAAGGTTTTCATTTTTATTGAAGATTGGGAAAAACAAAAAAGTGATTATATTAAATCAATGTGTCAAAAACCTGTACTACAATGGATTAGTCCTATAACTAAATATACTGAGGTTCAAAGTAGATTAAACTTTATTCCAAAGCGAGATAATCTCAGGCCTATTACAACACATAGGTATAAAATACAAATTAATTTTTTAATTTTAATAAATAATTATTTGAATTATTAGTTACTATTTATAAAAAAATTTCAGATTTACAGATCATGAAAAGCATATATTGAAATTACTTAATACTCTGTTAAAATATTTATACCAAATAAATTACCAAAAAGAAAGTAAGTCATTCAACGAATATTTCACTGTTACTTTCAAAAATTATAAGTGTGAAAACAATGATATTTTTATTGTATCTTGTGATATTTGTGATGCTTATGGTTCAATACTGCAAGGTAAGTTATAAATGTAAAATAATTTTATTAAGAAAATTCCAGAACCTTGAACCTATTTGTAGGGAAATTATTTGATATGGTACAAATAATGTTTCAAACATTAGCTACAAACATAACATTCAAGTATGAAATAGTACGAAAGAGAAAAATATACCAAATTATAACTGAAGATACAAATGTTTTCTCTTATGATCCAGAAAAATATGAAACTGTTAACAAACATGTCTTATTGCAAGCTTTAAAGAAATACATTTTCCAAATGAAAGTAAGTGAAAAATAAATACAAATAAATTCTATATCCATCTATTTTTTAAAAACTAACATTTTTAGGTGGCATATAAGAAGAACTTGTACAATATCAATAGAGGAATTACACAAGGACTATTGATATCTAGTATCTTATGCCAGATATATTATACTCACATGAATTTAAAATATTTTGCCAATTTGGAAAAATATGGTCATCTATTTAAATATGTTGATGATTATTTGTATATAACTAACAAATTAGATTATGCAAAAAGGTAATAATCATTTTTTCAACAATTCTTTAACAATAAATAATTTGATAGATGCTTGAGTTTATTATATGTAAATGATATTATAGATTTTTAGGTATAGTTGAAAAAGGCATACCAGAATACAATTGTTATTTTAACAAATCAAAGTTAGAACATAATTTAAATCCACACAGGTCCCAAAAGATTCGATATTTAGGATGGAAATTTGACTCAAAATCGTTGGAAGTAGAGCCTATCTATAAATCAACAAGATATTCAATTTACTTCAATACAATAACTATTACGTAAAGACATAATATATTTTGCAATATTCTTTAATGTACAAGTCACAGTATTTTCGTAATTTTATCAGGACGTTTCCATTCAAATTGAAACACCTAGCGTCGTTAAAGCTAAATAAACTCATGCTTACAAAACATATAAATAGTAGTCAAAAGATATTTGAAAATGTTACAATGATATCTCGACGTCAAGCTGAGCGATGCTTCGCACTCTTGAGCTGTTTACACGATACCCAAAACCAAAAAATTACTCTAGATTCTATCATTAAAGTCAATTTATACATGTTACGAAAAATTGAACTTTTTACGAACTGGAGTACGTTTTTAAATTGATTTTTATGTTTTTAAATTATTTTGTAAATGCAAATTTGATTTTTTATTTCATTTTTATAGATAATTATGAAAAAACTAGAAACAGGCAAACACTGAAGTACGTCATTTGGAGTTCTTTCTATAACGTTTTTAGAAAAAGATACGATATTTTTTCTTATCTTACGAACGAGTTCAAAAAATTGATGAAAATGAAGTGTAAAAGAAGAAAACGGATAGTAAAAAAGTTTATGTGAATACGAAAATTATTTTATTACTTGTTAAAATAAAACTTTGCAACATTGATTTTCATTGTTATCTTTCGTTACTAATAATTTTTATTAATCAATAAATAAGTGTTATGTGACTAAATAATTTCGTTTTAAGTATTGATTAAATATTTCCGTTTCCTTAGTAACGTTTGCAACGAATGCCGTAAAAGCGTGCTATATACATCAATACTAGATATTTAAATTTTGCACCTTAATCAATATTGTTAAATATGTCTGACGATATATATAAAAGTTTATTGTTTAAATTTTATGGATTTGATAGAGATTTTAAGAAAGTTGAAAAGCTATCAACCTCCAAGGGGATCGACATATTTGATAATGTAAGAACCTTGGACGCAAATACGGAACAATTAATATTAGCTGGAGAAACTGAAACAAATCAGGTATCCTTAAAAAAATTTACTTTAATATCATAGTTATTAACAAATAATTATCTTACAGAATGTCTTAGATAAATTGGATGGAACCAACGATGAAAATAATGACAGTACTTCATCTAAATCGCCACACGTTCTGACGATCAAAGATCTTGATACATGGAATAAAAAAGGTTATCTAATACGCGGTAATAATGAAATAACTAACAATAATAATGTATATTATAGAATTTCAGAAGCTGGATTCTGAATTAGATTTAACTAGCGATTTGAACGAGAAATCTGTAAATAAGAATTTAACATCATCAAAAGACACATTTACAAAAGTGGTTGCTAACACGAATGACTTGCTGATAAAAAACGATTGTAATACAGTAGAAAATAGTTCAAATCTATCGTCAACATCTGTTTTGAAAGCAAAACAATCATGGCGACAAAAAGTGAATCTGAAAGAAATCGCCAACTGCCCCATAGATTTACTATCAAAATATGATGGAGTATTTTTAGATTTGAATCATATGGGTATTACTAATTTCCCGACTGACATACTTCACCATTTGAAAAATTTACAGGTATATCTTATACATGTATGTCAAAAATACATTTTAATATTTGCAAAAAATCACGTTTTCTCTGTATGTTCTTGTAATAAGATGCTCTATTTGGATACAAATAACTTAAAAGAAATACCTGAAGATCTTTTTATAATATTAAAAAGGCTCACGTGGCTTGATGTAAGAAAAAATCAGTTGATTACGTTACCGCCAACTATAAAAGGCCACGAATCTTTAAAAACATTGTTGCTGCAAGAAAATAACATAGAACGGTTACCGTTAGAATTAGGTAGCAATAGTAGCAATGTTAAATGATAACTCTTTCTTATTTAATGAATTTTTGCAGGGCTTCTCCCTAATTTAAAAAATTTACAAACAGCTTATAACCCGATCATATTTCCTCCTCAAGAAATTTTGGAACTAGATTCCTTGAGTGTAATGAAATATTTGCGCAAAGAATGGAATAAACTACATGAAAATGAGCAAATTGAATTACAAGCATTTTCTAATGGTATGCAAAATTTAAAAAAACAGCAATATAATGCATTAAAATGCATTTAAATTATCTACCGCTTCATTATTGTCAAAGTAAAAAATAGATATACACTAAGAATGTAATTTATATTTTTAGAAAAAGATGATAAAAAACCATCAATGATTATTTGTTACCAACCGCTCCAGAAAAGTCTCCGGAAAAATTACAAGTACCGAAATTTAAATACCTCCAAACCTTCAGTTCGATTAAGAACGTGGAATTACAAACCAAACAGCAGGTATGGTTTTCGGAAATATTCATGGACTTTAAAAAAAATAGAAAATAACAAAAATATTCATGACAACTCTGTTATTTTGTGCAACTTCTGCGTTGCTGCGTTGTATCGTAAAGGTGTATTTGTTACAAATGTTACGGATGAATTTCGTAACAATATAGAGAAAAAAAATTAGGTGATACTTTTAAAAGATGTGTAGTAGGAAATGAATTCGTTAGTTACCAGAGAATCATTCTCTGATCTCAACTTTCATTACCTATCGGGACCATTTCCACGGTCTCTGTTTATCAGAAAAAATTTCTTTTTTAGTCAACTAGTTAAATAAACAAGAATCAAATTATGCTGATTAAATTCAAAATTAATTATATATCCAAATTAAAAAATGAAAACCATCGTAAAGGAAAAGAAACTTGAAATATAATTCCAACAAATAAAGTATTTGATGTTATAACTAACGACTGAATAAAATGAAAATAAAACCGTTGCAACTAAATCAATCAGACGCAATTATGAATTTCTCAAAAGCAATATTGAACGATACAAAGAGTAAACCTAATTTAGATTAAAAAAATCGACTTGTTTAAAATAGATATGTATTTTGATGGTAAGATATTATTGAATAAAACTGTTTAAATAGATAATATAATTGATATTTTTCCAAGCAACGTTATATTTTCTATGTATGGGTTTATTAATTAAGTTTTATTCTTAAAAGCAATGTTTGTTCATTATTTGTCGATTTCTTTTGGGTTTTTATACATTTATATAGATATAACAGTGCTACTTTGGATTTTACTTATCAACAAAAATGGTTGTGGAAAAATGATGTTAAACAAATGTTAACTGAGCAACACACTAAGCTTCAAAAAATTCTGTTAGTAAACTTTTCAGTTTCAATGTATTTCAAAATATGTACAATAATGGTAAACTAGGTATTTCCTTAAAAACAGGGATAAAAATGTTTTGGTCCAATGGAGAAGCAGTTATCGAGTATTTAAAAATAATAAGATATCATCAAACGATGTTAAAGGTATATAGATTTGTAGAACATTAATTCACATTATGATTATTTTGCAACGGACATTCAAGTAATTATTCTATTTGTTTTAAACAGCGTTAGATCCGCCATATGCTCTACACGAGGAGAATTCGCAAAGAAAGGTAAAAACTTGTACGAATTTCTTTACTTCTGTTCAATAATCAGATTTCAATAATTACAACTACTTTCCAGATTCATAACGAGAAAAAAAAATTAAAACTTGAATATAAATATGAGTTAGTATTTCTTTTTCATCTTACATAAATTGAACAGATCTAAAAATGAACATCTAATATAAACTGTAAAATAAAAACCGTTCTAACCTTAGTATAGAAAACTTCTACGAGAATTTCAATCGCATTCAAAACTCTCTAATAGCACTTGGCGATAAGAAATCAACAGTTACTGTGACTCCACGTGCAAAGCAATTACATATATGCACGGAGATTGATGTGGTAATAAGAAGTATTTTTATAAAAATTATTAAATGCTAAATTCTATAACATTTTCAGATAAATGATTTACAAAAACGTATTAATGATTTGAAGCTTTGTATGGACATACATATGCCTTAGTTATAAAATAACTTTTTTATGGATTTTTAATTTAAAATGATCAAAATTAGTTATTTTATCACACCAAAAGATAAATTTAAATTTTTTGAGATACAAAAGTTCGATAATGTTCACGTGAAGTATTCCAATGTTTGTGAAAGTGAAAACATTGTAATTGAAGTTAATCAATAAATGATTTTCATACCTATTCATTTATTTTAAATAATACACATACACACAGGCACACATATAATCAATTCATTCGATTTCCAACGATTTTATAAAAATTTATAAATTAATTAAAACAATAAATTAATTAAAACATGAATTTTATTTCATTTTCATAAACAATAGAAATAAAATATGATGGTTTCATAGAATCATGTTAAGTTTCATTATAGCTACATATACGCTGTACAAAACTGGAGGCAGCTAAATGTTCTTTTTTATTTTTACAGTTTTATAATTAATTCTATTAGCTATTAGAGATGATTGTTTTTACGAAATCATCGATTAAGGAAAATCATTATTTTTTTCAAAATATTGTTGAAAACAGTCTCATTAAATTGTATTTACTTAAACTCGAACTGAAGATTAAATACTTGTATTCACACAAAAACACTTTATACTTATGATAAAAACAATATCGGGCATACAAATCCACGTTCTTTAGATTTAAAAAAACTGATTTTAATTTATGCCACACAATATATTATACATTACTTTAATAACGAAAAGTAAACAAAAATGATTAAATTAAATATAAATGTAGTTAGTAATAAGTCTTTCAACAATTCTTCATGTTCACAAAAATTAAAACAACCTAGATAATTTTAAAAGATACCGTCGACTTTACGAACGTTTCTTAATAATGTTTTAATAATGTTTAACTCTTAAATTTCGACAGACATGCAAGATTTCAAATCAACTTTAAGCTAAAAATTATGCAACTTAAAGGCCAGAAATTTGAAACAAACAATGATTATTTATCCAGATCTATTAATCGATGATTGAAATAATTGCTTTTAAAATTGCAATGCGCTCAGCACATTTTTAACAAATACAGTAATTTACGTTGACTAAAAGTCCAAGCAATAAGATCATAATGTGATTCATTGTATTGCACCGTACAGTTCTGTCGTAATTTTTCGCATCCGAATTATAGAAACTTAAATATTTTTTCTACGCTGTACATGCATGCCTTTTATGATTGTTACTCAAGAGATTCATAAATTTCTTGTCTCTTTTGCATCAACAATATACATCAATGCTAAAAAGTATATGAATTAAATTCTATTACTTCAGGTTTGCTCATTTGATCGACAAAATTTTAAAGCTTTTCAAAAACGAATTCTGGCGCTGCAAGTAAAACGTTAAAAAATAAGCATATTCTTCTTACTGTCGGAATTTAATTACTTTTCTTCTGATTTGAACCTAATATATAAACTTTATTAACAACTATAATTGAAGAATTTGCCTGCTGTTAGAAACTTCTACACATTGTTATTGTTGTCGAACTGTCTTCCAATGGCGGAACTATATCAATGAAACCTAATCTTACAAAAAATTCATGAGTTTCTTTATCATTCACTGACATAGTTGTATGTGCTCCAAAAGAACCTGTAAGTTTTATATATCTATAGTCAATACAAAAAATACAAATTAGTTTTGAATGACATACTGGTATAAAAAAACTGTACCGTTTGCTCTAAGTGCCGCTAGAATACAAGTTACCAATCGTTTAGAGACTGATTGATCAGTGACTATGGGTAATAATCCACAAACAAGCTTTGATGGATGTTGTCTGCACAACTGCTCTGGTACATCAGGCATAAACGTGTGATAATATTGTATCGCTTCCTTTTTTTAAAACATACCATAATAATATTCATTAATGAATGATGTAAAAACTTATATAATTTATATTGACGTACTTGTTCGTTTGGTGACATTTCATTGCTTAAGCTTTGTAGTGGATACTTCAATTGCATTTCCGGAATCCACGAAACAGATAGCTTTTGATTTAATACTTTGACATTCAAGGCAGTTAGAGCGTAACCAACAATTCCAGTCTCGTCTTCGACGACCATACATAATTCCGGTGATAAAGTTAAAAATCCACCAACGAGTCTAAAAACAAAATTGGACGATACGGCGATATCAATTTTGAAATAGTTCTAGTGATACATTTTGCGCCCAAGAAAAATATATGTAATATCCGAAATGAAACAAGATTGATACCTGTCAGCTACCGCAGACGACGTAGAACAATTATTAATCTGATTGCACACTTTGTACACAGCTTCTTCATCGCTTGATAAATAAGGACGAATTGTATATATTTTACTGCTAGGCACTTCAGGGGCTTTGTATATGAATAAATCGTTTCCACTGTCCACAGGAATCAATCTCTGCATAAAAAGTACTGATCAACATGAATTTCATTCCTAACATTTGTAAAGAAGCATCGATGTTTTATTTTCATAAAGTACCTGTAAGTCTGCGGTAAGGCCGCCACGAAAAACCCATGGCTCTTGATCACCACTCATAAAAGTCTCTTTCCAGCCGTTCGAAAACCCTATCCCACAAAAATTGAATAAAAATCAAGAAAAAATAACGACGACTTAAATTAAACTAATGGTCTTATTTTTTTCTGCAGCTTCATGAAGATACTTTTAACATGCTCATTATCGATGAATGAATTAACGTTTTACTTCAAAATTTGTATGTATATTGAAAAAATGCGTTTCTTTAATTCATTCATAGCATTTCCTACCAAGGATGCTGTGTATATTTAAACAATTCATTCTTTTTATTTTATACATGTAAAAAAATACTATTTAGTCTTTTTCGAAACAATACAAATGAATAATGTCGCACAGATATTTTATTCTGTATACTTCAATTAATTTTTAGCATCCTAGATAAGCATAAATTCTTGAATTAATTGGATATAATTTTCATTTAAAAAGATTTGAATTAGGGATAACGTTTGCCTTTATGCACCTGTAATAAAATACATGTCCCTGAAAGAAAACGCATCTGAAACCAAGCAAAATAAATTAGTGCTGCATTATGAAAGAAAATAGATCGCTCAAGGTTATACTTCGTTAATCTAATATGTCAATGGATTTACCGTGAACGGTCGATTTTTTTTTGTTTAGGTAATAAATTCAAGAATTTATGAAATTGCTCTTAGGCAACGGAAATCTTACTGGTTGTCACAAATATCCTCTTCTTTGATTTTAAAAAATTAATGTTCCCATAGCTCAAATATTTTAATACCAAAAGTTATACAGTTTTATAATTTAAAATAAGTTTGAGGCCTCCAGCTTTTTTCAATTTGTAAACTACTAAATAATTTTCAACATGTTTCCAAGCTTCGAACTATAATTTTTCTTAAAATGTCTATGTAGAAATATTATTGATTATTAAACGTTCATAGATTTTAAAAGTGTACATATAAGTGGAAAACAGTCGAAATTATTAATTCAAAGCTTGGATATTACGATTTTTCCTATACTTAAAAACTGATCAGACGCATACATGTGTAACTCCCTTGGGTAAATGTCGTCATCGTGGCCGGAAATCTGCCAAAAGCTAATAACAAGAAAAAACAAAGAATAATTAATAAATGTTCAACGTTTTTTTCTATTTTGTCTCCGTATTATAATATTATAATATTATAGCAGAATAGACAAAAAAATATTCACTGTTTGCATAAAAAAATATTGAATATTATTTTGAAAAATCGATAATAATTAACACGAATAATTATTAATTGATTACTCAAATTAATACAAAGTTAATAACAACTTTAATAAAAAATAACGTAGTGCCTGCTCTGTCAAATCAACCGGAACTTTATCCAAAATACAGAACTTATGTTATAAAGCTATCTTTAACGAGTATCTATTTTTCATTATGTTATCAATAAAAAAGCTACAAATTAAATTAAAAATTAAACACTGTAAAACTAAGAAAAATAAATACATAACTAACATTTATTATATATGACATCCAACGTTTCAGTCAATTAAAAAAAAAGTAAATAAATTCCTACTGCATGTTAGGTAACTGAAAGTCAATAAAAAATAAGAGCAGCAGCAGATTAAAATATATTTTTTAAATAGAATAATAACACTTAGAAATACCTACAATTTTTGTTTCAAATAAATTAATGAAACAAAATTATTTTATTCTAATCTTTATTAAAATTCTAATTAAATATTGTGTATTTCATTGTTTAAAATAATAAAATGGAAAAATATTTATTACTATAAAAAGAAAACGTGTCAAAAAGAAACTTTGAATACCAACAGACCATATTCTCAATTGCTACAATATTTTTTTGCGATAAAAAGTGAACACGTTCCAACTTAAAAAATGAGATCATTGATCAGTTCATTATCATTACTGTGATGGTCAAATATTTTATATTCATAAATAGTAATGGTTCAATTTTTAATACGACATAAAATAACGTTGTTGATTCCATTTTTCCAATTTCTCAGCTGATCTGTTTTCGAAAAATAATTTATTATATTTTATGTTATTATTATGAAAGCTGTGAATTACAGTATATTCAGACGATTATCCAATTTATGAAATTCCAAATAAGTATGACTTTAAAAACAAAGCTTTTACATAAGATGCAACATCATCATTTTATACTGAAAAATTGTCTTGTAAATATTAAGTTGTATTAACTAATTTATACATTTTCAATATAAAAAATTTTACATGCAAAAATTAACTAAATCCTAATTGTTTATAATAAATTGTTCATAAGATTTAGTGATAATTTTATACTGTAAATAAAAACAATATTCCAGTACGGACCAGACATTAGCCAGATCAGTTGACAAATGTTGGATAAAGATAAACTTTTGTAAATTTTATATTTCTGCTAATAATGAAAACTTACCAAGCCATTTTACATAACTATTCAATAGCGACACTACTCCTCGCATATCCCAAACATACGAATATAAATCGTATAATAATTCTCGGTTATTGCAAAAAGTTAATCGCTGGAGCAAACGATTAACAGAATTACACATGTCATTCATTTTAGCTGCACGAGCGTGCCATTCTTCACTCTAAATTCAGAGAGAAAAAATATTCAACATTAAGATTAATTGTATGATTAAACAATGTTGATTTTGATTTGTTTACTACTTTTGCAAGATGAACGACGATGAAGTGGCACACGATTAGACCCATATTATTAGTAAAATATCATAATAAATAGCATTGTTAAATGTATTTTTAGAAAAAAAGAACTTGATGCAGTGGTTGTCTTAGGAAAATTAAACAAAGCAGAATACTTACATCAGCTTTATTGATAGGGTCATCTTCTTTAGATCTATGCATAATTATGTGAGCGTTACTTTTCAGCCAGTTGAACTCTTGCAGCAGTTGAATACCTTGGCCACTATGTTCGAAAGGCAAGTAGAAGAGATCACAAAGAAGCGACAGATCTTCGTACGTTAATTGCTTATCCGGGTCTAATCTGGTTAGCGAATCTTCATCTGGTTCGTCAATATTTTCACGTTCTTCGTGGTTTTCGTGATGCTCGCCGTCTTGCTCGACAATCATCAATGTTCCATTAACAGTCGTTGAATGCGCATCTACCTCTACTTGCATGCTTCCAGATGCCCCGCTGCATGTCTTATCAAGTACAATTATATTTATAAATTAGAACTTTTATAAAGAATTAATAAAAATATGCATGTGGAAAAAAAATACTTACAGAAGTATTTTCTACCATGGCATCATCATCTTGTGCGGATGTTTTAGGTGGATGCGCAGGTGAATTTGTAGGAGTGCTATTACAGTCCATGGGCTCCGTCGTATGTGGTACGGCTAGTGTGGGTGATGGACCTCCAGGGTTAGGCGGCATTACCTGCTCGCTAACAACTTTGGTCTCGGAGACAAGGGAGTTCATGACAGGGCCGGAGGGTGGCACAAAATTTTCGCTACTCATCACAGTGGAACAAACCTCGGCGAGCGCTTGCAGATGATTAGGGTTGCCACTGACACCGACGACGGGTGCCAGCACAGCCGCAACAACCGGCGTTGTCGAAGCGCCCGCTGATGTGGTAGTAGTAGTAGTCGCCGATGTCAAACTCATGCACGTATTCACCGAAGGGATTATAGGAATAGGAATTGTAGGTGCTACGCTGGGTTGCGGTTTGGCTATCACACCATATGCCGTACGTTTTTTGTTGAACTCTGGTAGCCACTCATTTATTGCGTTCTTGAGCGCGCGACGTGGATGATACATGTTCGGAGATAGAGTAGAAGGCACATCTTCCCCTAGAAGTCCATCTTCAGTTTCCGTCTCTAGTTTGATGTCTGCCGAGACTGTATCATCTGGAAACAAGTAAAAAGATATTTAAAACTTTTATTTTATCCACATTATAAATTATTATATAATATCTGTCAAGATTATTCTCAATACTAACTCAAACTAAGATCTCGTTTGCCGTCGACATTACATCTACTCCACTGTGCTAATGTATGTATTGCTATAAAATTTGCGCCGTATTCACAATTTGGATTTGTTAAAACACCTCTAAGTTTAGGTATGAGATCAGGAGATCGACCCGAGTAAGGTCCTAGAAATACTCGCTTTTGATCGTAATCATTGGCATGTAAGTTATCCCAGATTACAGGTGGCCTTCGGAGCACTTCCGTAATTTCTTCAATAGACTCAACTGTTAATAATCGTGAAATTACTTTTGGACCAGTCCACATTATATCTATTTCTTGTGCTAATTTACTGCCTAAGGTATTCAAGTATTCAGAAGTTGATACATTTGGCATTGCTCTCGTTGCACAGTATTGTGTTGGACATAAAAGAAAACGAGGCTGACCAAGATGTTGGAAAATGTCATTTGTAACCGAAACCTGTTGTACATTATTATTATGAAACATTATTCTTCTAGATCATTGAATATGAGATTATGAAATTAAATCACTAGAGCAACATGAAAATTCGTTTACCTGAGCATGTGCAAAAGATTGAAAAACCTCTTTATCAGCCTCACTCATTTCAGGTTCAATATCATCAAAAAGTAATGCAAATGCTTGACAGCCAAATTGGCTGACTTGTTCTAATTTTCTTTTTAAAGCTGTAACTTCCTTAACACTGGAATAAGTTATATCTAAGCCTGGAGAAAGGGCATAATAAAATGTTATTCCACATTCTCTTGCAGCAGTAATCAAACCAGTTAAGTGTTCAGCTTCTTCTACTGTGTATAAATCTCTCCAATACGCTCTATGCTTGTAATCATCTTTTGGAGCATACAGATAAGAATCCATTCCCCATTTTTTCAATCTATGATTATATTCAAAAAAGGTCAATTTTTTGAAACAGTTCAAATATCATATAATTTTTCGATATACTTACTTTCTAAATAGATCTTTACGCTGTTCAGTAGTCCATGGACGACCGTAAAATCCTGCAAGACATAATTAACCACATGAATCTATAGCAAGAAAGTATGTCAGATATTTGAAATTATAAAATTAGTTAGAGTTCACGTAAATTCTAAGTGCTATAAAAAAATTATTGCAAAAAATATTGCTGCAAGTGATCATATGTAAACAAGATGGGGAATTTAATCAAACTTAACTATAAATTGCTTTTCTTTACATATGTAACCCTGAGAGTAATTAGATCTAATGAGTATAAATTAAAAATGTTTTTAATTACCTTCGACAACACCGCAAATAAAATTTCCATTTTTTATATTTAAATTGGCGGATCCGTTTGTCTCCGCCATTGCGGATAATTTGTATTTCAGTTCTCACGCTAGAGTTTGCCGTATTTGTTGATAAAAAAGAATACACAGATTCACATACAACAATCGAAGAATCTAACAGAAAGTAAGAGAGAAACACCGAACAACAGTGATGAACGTAAAAGGCAAAAGCCGTCTAGGCGTCTACCTCATTTGGATCACGAATGCTGTTTTCTTTACTACAGTATGTATGTATTGTATATATAACACATGCATGTTTATGTGTGAGTGATAATAAATACAAGTTAGGACTCCTATAAGCAGCTGTATTGTTGCGTCTCATCGGTGCCGACAAAATACCATGAATTTTATAAAAACGAGATACTTGGACTAGGATAAAAAATAAGAAGAATCGAACAGTAAACCGTAGGCGAAGCTGTTTCTTCGCTATGAAAACGACTTATGGATGAATTCGTCTGGCGAAGCAATTTCCACTGAGTATACGTACATATTGGCGGTACTGCAGTCTACAATTTGATTGTGTGAATTTCTACATTATCGACTTATCTTAATGCATACATGTGTGTGTGTGTGTAATTGTTTTTTATTTATATTAATATTAATATAAGTACATCTTAAACACGGCTAATTATACGAGGTCTGGCTATTAAATAACGAGACTGGTTATAAAAAAGGGTTTTATTATAAAAATTATTCTACATTCGAATGCTAGATTCCATTCAATATACTCCCCTTCTCACGCCATACACCTTTTCATACGTTTTTTCCAATAACCAAAGCAATGCTGAAAGTTTCCTTCCCTACAAAAAATTCTTACATCAGTTCTAATGTAAGAAACATCGCTAGATCCCGTAGGATGTTTTCGTCTTCTATTTCTTATGCTTGAACCTATTCTCATACAAGATCCAACATAAAAATGACCGTACTCTATTTTCATGACTTTTTATAAAGTTTGATTTCTTAACTTTTATAAAAGTTTGGTTTCTTACGTATGATCTGACCATACGTTAGATCATATGTGAGGATATTTTCATGCATCAGATCTTTCATGAGAATAGAACATGAGTCATTTTTATATATTGTTAGATCTTGTATAAGAAAAGGTTCAAGCATAAAAAATAAGGGGCGAAAATATTTTACGGAATTTAGCGATGTTTCTTACATTAGAACTGATATAAGAATTTTTAGTAGGGTTTGGTATGAGGGCCTTTAGGAGCTCTGCCGTTTTTTGCTTTACCGTTTGTATCGACTCAAATCGGGTCCCTTTCGAAGCAGATTTTATCTTCAGAAACAAAAAAAAAGTCGCACGGTGCCAAATCTGGCGATATGGCGTTTGTTTGAATACTGACTCAAACAAACGCCATATCGCCAGATTTGGCACCGTGCGACTTTTTTTTTGTTTCTGAAGATAAAATCTGCTTCGAAAGGGACCCGACTGGAGTGTGTTTATCGTCCAAATACCGCTTCACAGATAGCGCGTTATGGGGAGGTGTATTGTAGGTATTGTCCTGGTGCAAAATCCACGAGTTATTATTCCACAACTCGGGCCTTTTATATGAAATCGTCCTCGCAATATTGCCAAAACTAACAAATAGTAAGTCTGGTTAACAGTTTAACCCTCTAGAATCTATTCAGTCATCACGATACCATTAATGTCAAAAGAAAAAAACAATTAATATTGTCTTGAATGTTGATTTGGACATCCTTGCTATTTTGATTCTGGACAATTCAGGCATCTTTCAATGCATCAATTGCAGCTTTGTTTCAACATCGTATTGAAAAATCCACGTTATATCGCAAGTAATAATGTTTTTCATTAGTCCAGGATCTTCTTTTAACCTTTCAAGAAAATCTGAGCAAACCTGTTGACGCAAGAACTTTTGGTCAGGAGTCAGGTTTTTTGGTACCAATTAACTTCGCACAGACTTTTGTGATGTGCAATTCCTCGTGTAAAATTGTTCTAACCGTTTGTTTATCGGCGTTTACAGCCTCTGTAATCATCCGGATGCTCATTCAACGATCTGCACGCACAATTTGGTTAATTTTGGTCACTGTTTCCGGAGTTGAAACAGTGACATATGGCGGCCCAGGCGCTGCGGTCATCTTCAGTGCTTTCTCACTGAAGCGCTTACACCACTCAAAAACACGCGCATAAGATAGAGCATTGTTCCAATTGGCATATTACAACAATTTATAGCACTCGGTTGGAGTTTTTTTCAATTTAACAAGAAATTTGAAATTGATACGTTGCTCGTGTTTTTCGTCACATATGGTTTTCGTTCGTTTCAAACAGCTACTGCACATATACTATAATAGTTAAGAAAACGTGTTTTTGTACGCGAATAGAAAAGATTTCTAGCTACCTAACGCACTACTCGTTTTTTGTTTCACCCCTCTAGGGGCGCAATCTCATTATCTAATAGCCATACCTCGTACATATGCATCTACTATAACTTAAATCAGTGTAGATGTTTCTCTTTACAGCATTTAAATGATAATTAATATTATATATTCTTTTGTTTATATTTTCTTATTGTTTAACTAATTGCAAAAAGTAAGATAGTGTTAAAATAAATAAAAATTTTTCACTCCTTTCATTTTTAAACTCAATTGTTTTAAAAGCTCCCCGTAGTCCTGGCGATACTCAAGTACGGTCACGATATGTGACTGTACTGGCAATATATATATATCCAATCATGGGAGTGATAATTCTCGTCTCTCGAGTCGGGAGTGGCGGATGGGAGGACCATTTTCTGTTCTGTTTCTGTTCTGTTAGTATTCGTTGGCTCTGGTGTCGACTCACAGTATAGCGAGACTGTGTCCCATCAACTGACTTGATACGTTTGCGCGCGTGATTCAAATTGGTGTTTTATTTGGGTAGAGCAAACCGAAAGAAAAGAAAAGGCAAGTAAGTAAGTAAGTAAGTAAGTATCAAATGTGTTGAAGAAAGGCGAGAATAGATGAATTGATCATAGAAGTAGAAGTAAATGTTATTAAATAGAGAAAGTAAGAAAAAATTAAAGGAATATTTCTGAATTATTAAGGAATTTACATAGAAGGTCAATGATATGCGGTTTAGGATCTGCAAGAAATTGGGAGATGGTGTAAGGAGGATAGATTTTCAATTTGTTAAGTTTGAGTAGTAATATGTTACGTTGTTCGGCAAAGCGTTCACATGACCAAAAGACACGATTAAGGTCTTTTACGTCTGATTCACAGGCACAAATGGGGGGAATCTACCAAATGCTTTCTGTGAAGGAAAAGCTAAATTATAGTGTTTGTTCTCCTATGAGTGATGGAAACTATCTGTGTTCTATAATGGCAATTGTTAAAAAACCAAGATTTTGAAGCTTTATTAAAATAATTTTGGAAATATTGTAACCCTTTGTTAGTATCGGTGTTCAATAAATATTCAAAGAAGCGATTTTTACAGCGCTCATTGATGAACTGTTGGAAGTCGGTGTATGGCAAGAGAAGATATGGGGAAAAGCCTGTACCTATCGCTTTTTTAGCAGAGTCATTTACTATTTCATTACCAGAAATACCTTTGTGGCTCGGGATCCAACCAAGGATGACCTCTTGATTATTTTCTAGTAGTTCTAAAAGTCGAAGTTTTATTCTAAAAATTGTGATGTGAGATGACTCGACCATGCATCCATTTTGTGAGATGGATGTAAGCTTAAAGAATCGGTAAAAATTATGGCTTTGCTTATTTTTTTTAAAATGATGAATTCCAGTGTCAGCTGGATTGCAAAAGCTTCGGCCGAGAATATAGAAGTATAAGAGTCTATCCTAAATTGTAAATTAACATTAAGAGGTTCAGGATTATAAATTGCTAATCCAACATAAAGCCCAGGACCTTTTTTTGATCCATTAGTATAGAAGGGTGGATGAGAGTTTAGAAGGTTATGAAATTGTATATTGCATTTATTGTCGGGATTGTGTAACGTGCGAGTTTCATGTGCGAGTGAAATTCGCGCGCTTCCCGTTTCGAGTGAGGACGACTCTGGCTCTGAAGTGAGAGGGGGATTCCACGATGTTGGGTTCTCGCGGCTGTTTTCCGGGCCCGGGTGTGGCCGAGCGAAGGAGGACAGAAGGAAGAGAGACTCGAAAGAGGACACTGGAGGTGAGCGAGCGGGTCAAGATTAGGAGTTCCCGTATTGCCCTCCCGATAGTGTGATCAGTAGGCAGAGTCTGGAACGATCTTGGGACTTGCCATCACGTCGCTTAGAGACCGTCGGCGCGGAGCGCTCGAAGCCGGCATCGTCAGCAGGATCCCGCCCTATCAGGATTTGGTCGTTTGTGGCCACAGGAGGCCCCGCGCCGTCTACAAGGGTATCCGTAAAGCTCAAGAGATCCAGCCGGTCGGGACAGTGAGAGCGACGATTGGCACCGAAGGCAAGTTGTTGGTGCATATTATCATCGTCCGAGAGTCTGTGCATTGCGAGGGATTCATTTGAATGGTGAGGTAATCACCTCACTCTGGGGAGTGGCGTTTGAGGGCGAGAGTTTTTGTTATTTCCGCGTCTCCGCGACGAGGCGATCTGCGCGCGTGCGACAACCGATAGAATAGTGTCCAGGAGCTTTATGAAGTTGAACTGTAATAAAATTTAAACCTGAACGTAGGCAAGAGATTTTGCATTGAATTCTCCTAACCTGAACGGGGCTAGCGTTTGACGTACTCATGAGCCGGGCATATCAAGATCGCTTGATCTTGAAAATAACAATGTATAGTAAAAAACTTTACAATTGTCAGCCTTAGCAATAATAAAACCTTTATTAAAGATAATGGATGCTTGGACTTGTTGAGCTTCAAGGGAGAAAACGTAACAAGGAGGCTTGGGGCTTGAATATAACATATTTCGGAATGGTTTTAGCTCTAAGTATGCAGTAAGAAGAGGAAGAGTGCGTAGATATTTAGTTTGTACAGCTAACTGACATAGTAGAAATAGAAGGATGGTTGGTAATTGAGAGCGAGCGGAGAATATAGTTGAAGGAGAATTTATTTTGTCTCAGATGTACGGGATGAATTCGAGATTCAGCATAGACAATCCTGTTGGGGGTTGAATTCCCCATACCTAGCGCAAACCTAAGAGCACGTCTTTGAATAATGTTAATTTTTTTGGAAAAAATTCGATGAGCTACGGGAAATGCAATAAAGACCAAAATCAATAGTAGCAGAAATAATTGCATTGTAAATCAATAGTAGCGATCTAGGGTGACCACCCCACCAAGTGGTGAGCAGCGATCTGATCATATTTATGCCTAAAATCAAATAATTTAGATGAACAGTCCACGAAAGGCTTTTGTCTAACATCATTCCGAGGATCTTAGCGCTGGATGAGACCGGTATTTTTGTTGAGTTTATTGTTAATGATAAGTCTGAGAGATCCTCGACTTTGTTGGTGTGAATGTGACTATTTTGGTTTTTTTAAGCGATAAGGATAGACCAATTTTTTGGAGAAATATATTGAT